GTGCAATTACCACCTAGGACTTCCAGTGGCCACAAAAACGTCAACTGTGCAGACTTGGAATTAACCCGCTAATTTCACCCCTATGACTTCCATTTCGTTGAAGCTACAACATGAACTCGCGTTTCGGCAGTTGAAATCCTTGGGCAGTTGATCCTTTCAGCATCGGTATGGTACTCCCTCAGACTGTTTTACTTCAGTGGATCGCTTATGTGGAAATCAGGCTGAAAAAGTAGACAGAATCAAACAAAGAACGAAAACAGTATTTTTAGTCGCTGTTAGGTTTTCATCATTTAGAAAATAACCGCAGTCTGGCAAAGTTGCAATGAAGACTTTTTCATAGGTCCTAAAAGCTTTTGGCTTCTGTGAGTACATTTACATTGCAACGTCCATTGTCAAATGTTGACCGCTTTCTTAGCAAATCGGACTACTTTAGAAGGGGCGATTTCGATCTTTACCTCCCTTCACTTTTCCAACCCCAGACAGTCGGAATAGGGATTAATAAGCTGGAACTTTTTGTCGAACTTTCAGTTCATGGGCTTTGATGAACTACGTCAATGTAACCCAGTGGTGTCACATCCTTTCTTATTTCCCATCCAGTCGCTGACACCGAAGCGAGTCACAGCACCGGTGTCGCGGAATATAAGTAGCTCGGGTGCGCTGTTTCGTCTGTGCAAAGCAGCATGAGAATCAAGGAACAACGTGATTCACCGTTTTCAGGTAACCATGTAACGATAGCACTTATTGGGGACTCGACACCTACTACGGTTATTCTGCAGTAGCCTATTCCATCATTCAGCTGTATTACATTAGATAGGTCTTTCAACGGCGAAACGCTTAGCTGCATGTTGTTAAGCCGAATCCAGTCCAGTCAAAAGGCTTTCACTGGTATTGCGGATCCGTGTTTTATTAATGCCACTGGTATCAACCTTCTGAATCAGTGGCATAGAACCTTCTGCTGCGTTTCGGGTAAGGTTCCGTGAAAGATTTGTGACTCTACGCCGCTGAAAATAATCACTGGTTGTGTGAAAAGCTGTTTCTACCAGTTCATTCCCGAACCACAATATGACGATGTTTGGAGACCGACTTTAAGGCGACCCTCCAGAAAACTGTCATGCCACTCTCCTGGAACCTTAGCTATTGTGAGAGCGCTAACTTGCCAGTTTAAAAAAATTGTTGGTAGCAAAAGACAGTGACGTGTATTCAAACAGCAGACCGTCCATAACAGTAATAACCAGAAAAAAGCTGAGTTCCAACTTGTGGAATTGCCTACGTTGTGAGTGCAACCTGAATACAACATGGCTTCGTCATTGGTGTACACCTGTGGATGCCACCTTTGGAAGTGAAGCTCTTTCCATTTATTTTCAGACTGCAGTCGAAATTGCTCTAATTAAAGGAAGTTCTGAACCGGATTTGCAGGTTATGCTTTCACTGTTTGTGTCTGTCAATTTTCCTGTGTAGTTGAGCGCGTAAAATCAATGTGAAGGAGCACGTAAATACTTCAGATTATCGTGATGCAATAGAGTCTTGTGCAAATTAGTTCCCTCAACAAACCGACCAAATATAAAATTATATAAATTGTATCGGGCACGTTAAGCAGATGAGACGTTCTGTTGTTAATTTATGAGTAGGCTACGAAGCCTGTACGACTCATTTGTTCCAGCTTTGTCATTGTCATCCGGCCACTGACAAACCTACCTGCCGACGTTTATTGCCAAGGCTGTTTAATTCAATAGAGGTAGAAAACTTCTCGTGTTCGTCCTCTTCACTGTGACATCAAAAACCAATTATCAACCCCTTTTGCACCAAAGCTTTGGTCACATCCTGTCGACATTGGAAATCAGCTTTTGCTTGGTGGTTTACAACCAGTTCCCTCTGGACAAACAGAAAGGTGTCTCATCTGATTTTAGCGTGAACCAGCGATGTCGTTTTTATTCCCCATTCTTCTTATTGGGGATATCATGCCAGAAGCTTTATCGGGTAAAGATGTGCTACAAACGGTCTTTGGTACAACTAGCTTCCACGTTAGCCTCTGGCGAGATGCTGTGTGGTAGCCATGTAAACCGAGGAACCTTTCGAAATGGGACTTGAGCATTTTTCTCTTTCCTCCCATGTGAATGTAATTTTTGTGCCCCATTTGAACGAGCAATTTGTTCAGGGCCAAACCTAAGTAAGCGTCGTCAATCGGAAGAAATCCCGTGAATTGTGTTGCAATATACAAATCCAGAGCCAATTCTCGGCCAATCATGTAGAATCCACCAGACACGTAGTTTGGATAATACGCGTTTGGGTAGACAGCTTTACTCAGCGCCCATTTTGACGGTCCAGTACCATTTCTTACCACACGTGACATCAGTATCTGGGATCCGACGATCTGATGTTGTACTATCCAGGGGTCTAACTTTTCTAGGAAAGCCACGACCTCGACTGGACTGACGAAAAAGTCATCATCAACGAACAAATAGATTGGTGCCTCCGGGCAGTATGCGATAGCCCATTGAAATGCAAACATCGTTTTGTATGTGTTGTTTGAGTAGTGGTCTATGAAATCTCTTTGAATTATATCACCGTGATATTTTGCCTCCTGTACGATACGTTCTTGTTCCTTAGAATCGTTGTGCTTTCCAAGAACAAACACATGTCGCACTGTCTTTCCTAACCAACACATATCGTTACCCCAAGTCTTTCGTATTGCCTCACGCAGACTATAGTGTGTGTTACGAGATTTGATCAGGATCAACAAATCCAACGTGCCGCGTTCATTGTCGGTTACTTCGCACAACTTGGGAAAGTTGATAAGCATCGGTATTGTTCGGCTCTGCTGATGCAGTGTGTGAGATACCAAGGAACCCCGTCGGAAGTGGCATATTTGTCGGAAGATATCCACTTCTTTCCCGTACGAGAACAGCTGATTACCAAACCAGTCATATTTTCGAAACGAAATTCTTTTGAACTTGGAAGCCGCAATGGACATGGCGTCACAGTTGATTGCTTTGAGTCGATCTCCATCAAAATTCCAACCATCTAATTCCCGAAGTGCCTTCCACCTAGCATCTTTTACATCTAGCGATTTGTTTTGTCTACTCAGATCTTTGGGAGAGTGTGTTTCACGCTGCACGGTAGTGTGCTTTATCATATAATGAACCTTAAAGAATATTAAAACCGCTAACAGGAGTATCAGGGCGGTAGATTTGTACGCTTTTTGAAGATGTCTTGCCATCTACTGCAGATGTGACCTCGTCAATACGGTAGTTTCAATAATTGCAAGCAGGGTATAAATTTTCCAGGTGCCTAGATAATTCACTGATGGACAACTTCAGGTGCTTTTCAAGCGTACGAGAACGAAACTGAATTAAAAATGGTTTGTCATGTGACGAAACGATCGTTATCGATCAGATCTAACCAAACTTAGATAGGGCACTTATACAATCCTCGTGAGATTCAGTTAGGCTGTGAGTTTACAGGAGATGTTTTCTGCTCTTTTCAAGCCTATTGGATCTCTCACTACCGCACACGTAACTTACATCTGCCTCTTGATGATCCCCAGTGCAGTCGAGATGTCAGATATTTCAGTTACGTTTTTCTTCACGTTCTGTCAGCTGACCAGACAATACTCGACTGCACGTTGCCAAACCGAAAAAGTGACTGACCATGATACCCAGAAAATTTGTCAGTAAATCTTACTTATGACTTGGATAGAGTTTTGCTTAACTCAGTACTTGAATACGTTTCATTAGTCACTACGGTTCGCTACACCGCCTAGGTTTTCAGACTTTATAGGATCGGTTTGCTGTAAGAAAAAATGAGAAAAATTGAAAAAAATAGTTACTTCGAAAAATGTTTTGCGGCCGCATACAAGGTGACATTTATGTGATGAATGGAATCTTCCATTGGTTTATCAAGTTTCACCTTTTCCCTGATAGTTGTGGAGATGTTGCATAGGTAATCATATTCACACCGGAACACTTTGAACGGAAAAATAATTGTGGGGTTGATACAATATACCTTTCAACAAGGGGCGTCTTCAAAAGAGGACGTTACCTGCATAGGTACGTAAAACCTTGGTAACCTAGAAATGTCTATACAAAGCCTCTGGAAAGTTCACAGAGTAACGGAACCAAAGCTTTCTAGCACAATTGGGGCATTCACGTGATCCACCCCTTTGGCTTATTGAGAAGAACAACAGCCAAATTCACAGCATGAGCTGCCGTCATTTTCCCCAATAGCGAGAAAACGAAGTGTTTAACCCTGTCTTCTTGACAATGTCGAAATTTCCGGCTCCGATCCCATGGAGTCAGACTGTTCAACCATGGATAGAAATCTCAATCCCACCATTTCAATTAGACGCATAACTCCATATCACTGGTTCTTTTGTTGCTCCGCCGCTAAAGTTATGGTTACTCCGGGAGAATCTTGATGCATGAGTGTAGTGACCACTCCTTCACCCGTCTTTCTAACTCTCTATGTTTAGCAATCTGACAGGAAGCAGTAAGCATATTGCGTTCCTCCTGAATTTAGGGACAGTGAAACCACTGAATAGTTGCTCTCTTTTATTTCTTCGTTCTGGTACTCGAGGCGTAGGTAGACACCAAAAAAGCTTTCGTTTAAAACGGTTCTTTACAAATGATCAGACTGGTTGGTGCCTGTTAGCAGAACAGTCCGCAGAGTCAGGTGTTGCATGCTGTAGTGAATACGAGTGGAAAATACTTTGGCGATATCAACAAAACAAACAAACAACTGAATACAGTAATAGCTGGTCTCACGAGCCAAAGTAGAAAACAGGACTCATTTACTCACAGAAGATGGGTTCACATAGGTGACGCAGGGAGATTCCAGAATGCTGTGACAAATATGGCCTTACATGTGTTCGATGATTTCCGTAGGTAACAGCTGGGTCGTCTTGGAGTGGTCTAAAGCCTGCACCAAGACTTTTCAATCTCTGTGGATTACGTTGAAATATTCCTTGTCAGCTTGGCGACCATCTTCAGGCCGGATCGAACGTTACTTAATCACCTTTTAGCCGGGGTTATCAAAGTTGAGCGTACCGCAAGAACGAGTGAATGCAGATAAGTGCTTATGAAGAATTACTGGATTGAAGTTCCAAATTATTCGATGGAAGCCATAAGGAGATGCATCCCTAGACTGAACTGATAAGGGTCCCCTGTTTGGGAACACTGCAGTGTAGAACCTGGATTACTCGGATGGTAATGTAACGATCGCACTTTGAAGTCTGACGTGTTGAAATTGTCAGGATTCCCCAGTGACCAATTTTCCGTGTCAGCAAAGTGTAAGAAAAGAGTTCAGTTTTCTTTTAAACGTTCAAGTGTCGTCAACAGACAATGTAAATTTGAAGACATGCGGTGACCGGGTGGTTAAGAACGATCAAAAGTATTTGAGGGCTAGTGATCGATCCACGTGGTACACCGTATTCCACTTGAATCGGTCTCAAGCGTTGGCGTAATGCGAACAGTCTGCTAACTTTTATACATGGGAGCTTGAGGGCGACGCTGGCAATGACTTGCCTACGTGGTATTCTAACGGGATAAGTGATATCATGAGGTGCTTTATGGAAGTGTGGGCATAGTTCATAGACTGATGTTCCCGAATCTATCGTCTTGGTTAAACCATCCTTGTTCATCATCTGTTTTATTGGTGTGGCCTCTATGCTCGACAAAATGTGGACATTGCAACTTCTGCTTGGTTCGTACCTCGGTTGCCATACCCACCGCATACAACCACGCCCAGTTTTGTGTGTTGCCCGCGGTTAATATGTATGGTGTGCGTATCCTGCGGCAATTATTGTGAAAATCACAAATTCAAACCAGCGTACAGCTTTCAAAAGTCACGGTGTGACGCTTCTATAATTCAGAGTTAGCACTACGTTTAGTTTCGGTGATAGCCGTGGCATCTTGTTTTGACGTATGTTAGAGGAAATACAACTGTTGGATGTCTTTTGTGTGTATTTATCGTCAGCCAGGGCGCCGAAGCACTTGGATGCCATTATAAACTACCCTCCACGAGTCGCCTGTCTTGAGGATGAATTTTTCTAGTTTGGCTCTGATTCCATGGCGTACTCAAAAATTTGCTAACCGGTTGCCAGAGGTCGCCAAACCGATAGGCTGCTGAGAAAACTGGTCCAACGTCAACCATTGTATTAAGCCTCAAAAGAAATGGTTCCATCGAGAGAAATTACCATCATAGGTCACTTCGTCGAGCATTTTCGAAAGTCTGCCTCACTGCGAGTATGCTGTGCAAGTTGATCGAGGTTTAGGAAAGACGGAGAGCCACTCAGCTAATTGACCTTCAGCTGGCAGACTAAATCAGTTCTCAGTGCAGGTTACAAGCACTTGTTGGTTAAACACACTCAGTTGCAAACTGAATTGGTGCTAGCGAGGACTCGTTTGAATCAACTGTGATACTGTCGTTAGTTCTTTTGGGCGAAGAACTTACGACTGATATGTTACCGTAAACTAACGTCAAGTTAAATCAGGTTTAAGACACTTCGGATATCAGGGCAAAAATACTGGGACCTATATGGTGAGTTTATCAGATGAAAAAGTCCGAGAATGGCTTTCAAATGAACAAATGACGGATTTAGATGCTCTTCTGAAGGGCACCTGTGTTGGCTGTTCCAAAATTTCAACAGTGTGCTGATTTGCCTGTTGTAGACAATCGATCTTGTAAATCCAAGTCGTTCATTCTTTGAAAAAAGTTATCCCTGGTGGACAAAAATTGATTGAGTGTGTAATTTCCTGTAGTTTCACCACCAGCCCACCATTCATGGAGTTCAATCCGTCACATCCCCTTAGGACTGGATCTGAACAAATATACACCTTAGAAACGCTGACCATTTTTCTACGTCCGCGTGAGTTAGGTAGGGTTGTGATAATTGGGCTGGGGCGATTTGGTTGGTTAAGGCTTTATACTTTAGACCCAAGTGGGGAATAATTAGAAATCTGTTGGCAAGGGTGCGGAGGATTGATTTTGATTGAGCAGATAAACCTTGTGGCCAACAGCCGAAAGCGCTGTCCAGTCACGTGAATCCTTCGTTTTAAGAACGACAAACCACGTAGAAGCTCATCTGCGTGAGATGGAGAGGGTACACGATGGCTTGGCAACCATAGGTGGGCAGTTATTTTGTGTTTCAAGGATCTTATGTTGAATACGCAACAGTTCTCTTGGTCTGTCTCCAATCTCACCAACCGAGAGCATTCACTTTATGCTTTCCGAAAATGCATTCCGTGGATGGCTTTAGGCAGCTATTAGTTGAGGCATTCGAATCGAGGCACTGTTATACAGCAATACCATTCTTACCTGTTTCGTCTGACAGAGAAGCAAAAAACGTGATCTTATAGTCCCTGTTTAGGAATCGGCCGCCATTTTCCGTCCATTATAAACAAACTATGCTTATCTTCCACGAAATGGCTTTAAACCGTACCTCTGACCTAAGATTTAATCTATTCGCTCAAAATGAAGCTCCTGATTCTTTATTGCATACTAAAGTTCATTCTGACTACCTGTGGATACAAGTATGTCGTTCTACAGGGCCTTAGAGCGCCATGTGAGAACAGTATAATGTTCCGCGTACATGCTTATCAGATGGTAGTAAACAGCTGGAAATCACACAACCTCACTTGGTTACCAAACCACATTGTTTCTCCAAACGCACCTCAATTTTGTTCGCCGAAAAAATAAGTCATCAGTTCACATAATATCAGCTTAGCCACGTTCATACGGTTTGCCTTAAAATCTTCAACTAAGTAGTAGATTATAGCTACGTGACAGACGTGAAACCGCAATCCATACATTTGAAGCTACCAATGAGGCAATTATTTTTGTTAGTTTCATGAACTACTCAAACAACACTCAGTAGGTAGCTGGCCAAAATAACTGGCTTCAAAATAGACCGAAACAGACAACCCAGTAGCACACGATTTGCCAGTTCTTATCGATACGAGAGAGAATCCACTGACAGCTGGTTTGTCCGAAACCGATTAGTGCCCCGCTATTATTTTTTCCCACAACATTTCTATGCTATACATCTAGCAAATGCGGGATAAACATAATCTATATGTAAATTTCCATCACGATGACGGGACAGATCAATTAGTTGTATACGACTGGAGACGAAGTTGT